TTGTAGGGAGGTCATACAGGCACGTGGAGGCCACACACACTACTGAGCCTCATTTTGACTTGTTTTAAGGACATTACATCAAAGCTGGATCAGCCTGTAGTGTTTTTTCCCACTTTAATTTTGAGTGTAACTCCAAATCCAGACCTTCATGGGTTGCTACATTTGATTTCCATTGATAATTTTTGTGTGATTTTGTTGTCAGCACATTCAACTATGTAATGAACAAAGTATTTAATAAGAATATTTCATTCATTCAGATCTAGGATGTCTTATTTTTGTGTTCCCTTTATTTTTTTGAGCAGTGTAGATTAAAATAATAGCCTATCTGTAATGTTCAACTTTCCATAAAGACTTATAAAAAGCAATCATTATGGGTTCTCTATTATTTACTCCTGGTTTCTTAGCGCCTTCCCAGATTTTGTCAGATTGTTGTTGTTTCTTAAATATCCAAAAGAAATAGAACAGAACAGAACAGAATTTTGGAGGTCTTCTAGTCTAACCCCGTTCAGTCAGGAAGTCCTATACCATTTCAGACAAATGGTTGTCCAATCTCTTCTTAAAAACTTCCAGTGTTGGAAAATCCACAACTTCTGGAGGCAAGTTTCAAGAACTTTCAAGTTATTATTTAATTTTAAAACATGCTTGTTTTTAAAACAGTAAAATGAAAAGAATGAAATTTATTTACCTGTGTTCGAGCAGGAAGCTTCCCTTTAACTTCACTAACCACTTTCCCTTTATTAGAAATACGTGCTGCCTGTTCTTTGCAGAAATTGATATGTCGATCAGCTGCATTTTCATTAAATCGCCTCTGGCAGTATGGACACTGAATATAATCTATATTCAACAGAAATTTATGAAATACAGATACATAACAAATGGCTATTCATAACTTCACTCACTCAATTGCCCAATACAATTTTGCTCTCATGAGACTTAGAATTAATGCCCTGATGTCATAACATTTATAACAGCTGCTATTTACACAAAAAATGTGTGTGTGTGTGTGTGTGTGTGTGTGTAATATTTCATAGGACTATATAAATTCTGCAGGGGAGGGGGAAATATAGTACATCTAGAATGTATGTAAATTATCAAGTTACTGGAGCACTCCATTATTTTCTCTTAATTACCCAGCTAAAAACAATGTTTTCACTATATTTCTGTTTACCTTCACAATTTTAGGTTTTTGAGTCTTATTTCAAAATTCTGAGAATAACCAGGAAACCAATCAAGTTCTCTTTGATCTAATCAACAGAACTCTTTAAAGGAACAGGTTCCAACTGCATCCCACCCGCTAAGCTGCTTCAGTTCAATGATAACAAATAGTCCATCCCCTCTATTCCATATGTGCTAACATCTTTCCATATATGTATTTTAATACAACCTGTGTCCATCTAAGTGTTTGCAAAGAAAAAAATAAAAGTTCTTGGGACTTCTGTTTCTTTGATTACAATTGCAGAAATGCCTGCAAAGTGTGATGAGAGAAAGATACCAGTATATTTTCAAACACATAGTTTTTACAACTCTAGTTTCATACAGCAATACAGGACTCCCATGTATGTATGGATGAGGGAAAAGGCATTGGCTGATGGCTGGCTTTAGCTCAGTCAGGGGAAAATAGAAAGTGTTGACCATTGTTGTTGTTTTTTTAACAGAAGTTTAAAACTGATTTAAAAAACTAGATTCAATGATATAGTCGTCTGAATTCCTTCCCTAGGACAATTAGACTGAACAAGACCTTATTTGTGGTCACACATGGGGAAGTGTGGTAAAGCAAGACAAAAGCCAAATAATTAAATCCTTCCTATTAAGTGTAGATTCCTTTCCAATTCCAGGTGTAAAAAGTTTTAGTGCAAAACCTCTGACAAATAATCAATGACAAATAATCAAGGCTGCAGTAACTTAGGACAAACACGCCTCTTTTTCTACTGATGTAAATGTGCAATTATTTCCTATATAATAATTTAGAAATGATTCAGTAACAGAGCTTTGTGTGAAGATAAAAAAAAGAATCATGGTATCAGGTCTAGGTCTGTGTCATTCATAAAAGATACTCTATATAATTAAAGTTTTGCATATAAAGAAGACAGATAAACAGAACAGACATGATGGGTAGAATCTATTTTTTTCAAATCATCCAGTATTCCTAAAGGTTTACTCTCTGAATAAAAACAAAATCAGATATAGAGGATTTCGGATATAAAGTTATCTGTCCTAACAAGCATGGTGATCATGTATGATTGATTGATAGAGCTATGTAACTGTTCAAAAATAATACTGCATGAACATATGCTAAAATGCATACATATCTCAAATTCAAATTATATACCAGGATCATAAGAAGGAGGTGGTGGTGGTGGCAATTTTCCACCTTCTTTAAGAACCTGATCTACTCCTTTGGCTGCTCTTATAGCTGCTAAGAGCTCCTGGTGCTTTCGTCGCCAGTTTGATGGTTTCTTTGGAGGTTCTGGCTAAGGAGACAACACAGACAACATACATAGTTTTGCAATGTAAAACATTTGATTTCTCTTGTTCTCAATACAATATGCAATAACTCAAACAACACCAGCTAAATAAAAATATTGTATTATTTTTAACCAGGCTATCTGCCAAACTACACTTAGTCTTTGAGACAAGTGCTGTGATAGCACTTATGAAAGTAAAGTAGGCAAACAAAAAGTAAATTTAATATTCCAGGCAAGCTGAATTCCAAGTAAGAACAATGTCTGATTATAATCACTTCCTACTCTTCTGAATGCTTGTTGAATTGTCATTAAGGAGAGCTATTTTCTTGTTTTCAATATAGTTAGGTATTGCATTAAACTTAGAAGTAATTACTGTTATATTAACTGCTCACATAGGAATGCAGAACTAGATTAATTTAAAGTATTAGGTCTGCCCAACACCAACAAAATATATCTAGTACAGTGTAAAATTATACAGAGAAAGTTAAGCTTCTGAGATGCAGCAATATTCAATAGAACGCAATGTTATCTGCTTTTTTGTTTTCTTTAAAAAAAAAAACCTTATCATAGACAATCAAATGCCAAAATCTTGCATTCTTCCTAGCGACATATTACCCTGCTCTAGTTTTCATTATTGGCTGCAATTCTTCAGAATTATGAACTCGTATAATAGCTTCTGTAGCAGGGGTGTCAAACTCGCGGCCCAGATACGTCACACGTTCGCCATGCCCACCCCCAGTTTAGCAAAAGGGGAAAAATTCATGTTATGTCACGTGACAATGCCAATTTGATACCCCTGTTCTATATGGTAAAATAAGTCTCCTTCTAGTCAAGCTTGACTTTTTCTGTTAAGTGAAATGAATACATCATGTGTTTTCAATTTTCTTGCAAATACTGTATAAATTATTTGCCTCTACCTTTTTCCAAAACTAACCTACAGCCCTGATATTGCTAATAATATACATTCTTATAGTATGAGGTTTGAAATCAGAATTTTATTTATTTATTTTATTTTTTTGATTTGTCAATCGCTTACAAGATAATAGGTATAAGTATAAATATACTTATGAATACATGAAATGGATACATAGAAGAAAAATAAACAGGAGACAGTAGGCACGTTGGTGCGCTTATACACGCCCTCTACAGACCTCTTAGGAAAGGGGTGAGGTCAATAGTAGACTAAGGTTAAAGTTTTTGGGGTTTGGGGAAGAAACCACAGAGTCAGGTAGAGTATTCCAGACATTGACCACTCTGTTGCTGAAGTCATATTTCCTGCAATCAAGTTTGGTACGATTAACCTTGAGTTTGTATCTAATGCTTGCTCTTGTATTATTATGGTTGAAGCTGAAGGATTCATTGACAGGTAGGACATTGCAATGTATGATTTTATATACTATACTTAGATCGGACCGAAGGCGGTGTAGTTCTAGGTTTTCTAGGTCTAGAATTTCAAGTCTGGTGGCATAAGGTATTCTGCAACGAGTAGAGGAGTGGAGAACTCTTCTTGTGAAATATTTCTGAACTTTCTCAACTATGTTAATATCAGATACGTAATGTGGGTTCCAGACTGATGAGCTGTATTCAAGTATTGGTCTAGCAAATGTTTTGTATGCTCTAGTTAGTAGTGTGATATTATCAGAGAAAAAGCTACGTAGGTTAGGTTAACAACTTTTAATGCCTTCTTGGCTATGTAGTTACAGTGGGCTCTAGCACTTAGATCATTAGAGATGAGAACTCCAAGGTCCTTAAGAGAGTTTGGATCATCAACAAGGTTTTGACTATTCAGTTGGTATTTTACTTTCTGACTTTTTTTGCCAATACGTAAGACAGATCATTTATTTGTTGAGATTTGAAGTTGCCATTTGTTTGACCATTCTGATACATAGTCGAGGTCTTTTTGAAGGGTAGCAGTATTGTCTGTGGTGTTGAAGAGCTTTACATCATCAGCGAAGAGAACACAGTTGCTCTTAATATGATCACAGAGGTCATTTATGTAGAGCATGAAGAGAGTTGGTCCTAGAACACTGTTCTGGGGGACATCACTGTTGACAGGTACAGAATTTGATAGGACACCCCCAATTTGACCATTTGTTGTCTGTTTGACAGGAATGCTTCTATCCAGTTATGCAGGTGACCAGAGATACCATAAGATTTTAGTTTTAGTAGTAGTTTGTCGTGTACCACTGAATCAAAGGCTTTACAGAAGTCTATGTAGATTGCGTCTATTGCTTTGCCCTGATCGAGTTGTGTAGTCCATATGTTTTTGCAGTGTAAGAGTTGCAGATTACAGGATAGTTTTTTTCTGAAACCAAATTGTTTATTAGAGAGTAGGTTGTTTGTCTTGAGTTGATGATAAAGATAATGCCGAGATAAAAGAAATATTATACGAGAAGTACACTTAAAACAATTAACAGTTCTTTAATCAAAGAAAAAAATAAATCAGTACATTACTTTGAATGTTCCTAAAAGCTCATAACATATTTGCAACCAATATTACATAGGTTTTTTAAAAAATAATAACTATATTTCAGCATTTGGGTACTTACCCGTGGTTTTATAGGCTTTACTGTGGAAATATCAGTTCCTTCTGCTCTCTGTCTGCTCGAGTCAAATGTTTTTCTTTTTTTAGCAGCAGTTTTTTGGCAAATGGGAGCATGTTTTTTCTGTGAAATGAACGTTTAAAAAAGTGGAATATTTATATTTTTAAAAATTCATTATTAGCTCCCTGTCAGGAAAGAAAAGCAAAAAACTCAAGAGATAAAGCTTACAGGAAGTCCTCAACCTATGACTATAATTGAATTTTGCTTGATAAGCAATGTGGTCATTAAGCGAATCATACGATCAGACCTGATTTTACTACCATTTTTACCATGACCATTAAGCAAATCACCATAACTGTTCAGTAAATCCAGCTTTCTTGCATGGAGTTTGCTTGTGAGAAGCCAGCTTGGAAGGGGGCTGCAACAGTCATAAAGTGAGCCTGTTGTCAAGTGCCCAAATCACAATCATATGACAGCAAGCGTGTTATGATCCTAATTTTAAGGACAGGTCATAAGTCACTTTTTTTCAGCACCATTGGAACTCCAAACTATGATTAAATACATGGTCCTAAGTCAAGGGCTACCTGTATATTTATTATATTAATTTACTTTATATGAGGTTCTCTCTACCCCATAGCCTGCCCCCAAGGTAGTGTGCCTCTGTTGGAGCCTCAAGACAGTTGGCACAGCCAAGTTTTCAGGCTCTTCTGGAAGAGTAGGAGTGTGGTGCCTCTGGGTAGAACCGTGATGGCGAACCTATGGCAGCGTGCATGCAGAGCCATTTCTGCTGGCATGCAAGCTGTTGCCCAGAACAGATGCACTACGCATGCGCTGCGCCTCCCGCCAGCCAGCTGATTGTCGGGTATCTACTGCACATGCGTGAGGGGTGGGGTGCAAGTTGGAGATGCATGCGTGGGGGGCACATGGGGGCACGTGCTCATGCGCAGAAGTGTGCAGTGCAAGGGGTGTCGCGTGCATGCGCAGGGGTGTCGTGCACGCATTGTATTATGGGTGGAGGCATGCACATGTGTGAGCACATTTGGCACACAACAATGAAAAGGTTAGCTATCATTGTGCTAGAAGACGATAGCCAGAGCAGAAAGCAGTTTATGCTTTTCATGTTCCATGAACCCACTATAATTGTCTATTTGCAACTTCATAATTTTTTTGCATGGCAATATTAGCAACTAGATATCCCAAAAGCTTTAATCTGGTTGCATCTTTAGCACCGTTGCTATTCCAAAATATCCCCAGCTCTTCCCCAAGAGCATGTTTAGTGCCATCTGACCCAAGGAGCCCAGCATCTGGCACTGTATCAACAATCACTCTGTCTTTGTCTATCCTTGTGGTTTTCTTGATAAAACACAGAAGTAGTTTACTCCTGTGCAGCATGAAATACCTTCACCACTGTCACTAAAAGAGATCAATAGAATAGAATAGAATAGAATACTTTATTGGCCAAGTGTGATTGTTTCCAGAACCTTCCTATGGGATAGAACCTGTACAAGCTCTTGCTTGCCATAGCTGAGATGATTTCATGCCTTGAGTGACTCTGCTAGTAGTACTTATCCTTAGACTATAATGCTCTTCACTCATTCCTTCTGAGAAGGCAGGAGGAAAAAAGGCAGTTTATTCAAACTGCCTTTAGGGGAGAAGCCAAGATATATGCTAGCAGCTTTTGAAATAAACTCCTGACTTGCAACAGGCCTTACTGATTTGGGCATAACCTGATGCCTTTAAAATGTCACTCGGGGCAAGAAAATAACCCAGACCATCCCCAATAACATTACTGGAACCCTCAAATTTAACAAGGCAACCTGACATTATAAGGCTGCTGTATGATTTGAGGGGCAACTAATATATTTAGTATTTTCTGCCTTGATCACTGGGTTTATAAACAAGCTTACTTAACTTATGACTTGCATATGAACACTTACTTGCATATGATTCAGACAGATCCTGAAAACCCAACATTTATTTATTTTTTAATCAGTTCTGTACCCAGGAATTAGGCTGGGTCATTAAAAATAATGAAAATCTTGGTGCTATAAAAAGATGGGCAAAACATAAGGACTCAAATGTCAAAATTACTCTATATGTGAGTATGAGTGGAAAATCCAGATGTTCCACTTGATTGAGTTGCCACCTCCCTCTTCTACACACCTGGCCAGGGTCAACACTATTAAGAACACTATCTTCCAAGTCAAGTTCCTGATAGGAATTCAACAAATGGCATCAAGAAGAGCTTCTACAAAGGTCTGTAATGGTAACATAAATCACAAATATGGAAATGATGAATCATAGAAGGAGAAAGAAGAAACAAACCTTTAAGGAAACATTTCAGTGAAATGAAAGTTCCATTGTCTGGAAAAACAGAGACCTACCAAGATATTTGCTTGTGGATTTTGGTATCTGAGAATTTATCAGTTATCACCATGAGGATGGTGGGTTAATTTTAAACAATTTTAAACAATACTATAGAGATTATTTTAATGGAAACAATATTGAACTATGTATCAATATGGACTTGAACTGAGTTTCTATGTATTTTGAATAAACCTTTCCTTCATGCTGTCATGGTGTTTACTTTTGTACCTGCTCTTATGGGAACATGAAAAAGGAGAGGGAAGAACATCAAAAAAGAACATTCTTTTTGGGTCTTCTGAAAGGGTGATTATGCCTTATATAATACCATATTTCAAGGCCAAAAAACTGACCAAGTAAATGGAGAAAAAAGCATTATCTTGCTTAGGCCTTCAAATTACTCCAAAGAAGAACTGGTAGAAAATACCAGGGCGTCTACCAAAATAGACAATCAGACAAGACTTGGCACTTTTCCCACAAATAAGCTTCCACCCATCCCCCACTTTAGAGATTCCCTGATGTTATGGCTGGAACAATAAAGACTGTCTTGTAGTCTGTAGTTGGGGAAAGGACTCAATTATTTGAGATGTTCCCTACACTTTTGCAATATCATGTATGGAGTAGCCCTTGTGAAAAAAAAAAGCACAAAGAAGGAATTGAAATAACTTTGCTCAACAAGCTCAGTTTCTATCTCCTGGAGACTTCTCTACAGGCTGAAGTGAACAAGCAGTCTTCCTGTTGCTGAGGGAACACTGCAAAGCATAAATTGGCAGCTCAGAGGCTTTTGTATTATTGGGCCTCCTGACAAGGTCAGAGGTAACTAGTTGCTTAACCAGCCATCCTACTTATCTATACCTAACAGGAAAAAGGAGGGAGAGAACTTCTGCAGCTTCTTCAAAAAATGGTCTGAAAGCTGGCAGGAAAAAAAGCTGTTCTCTAAAAAGCAGAGAAAAAGATGAAGGGATCATGTTCTCCTTTTACAAAATAGCATATAATTGTTCCATTAAAAAGTTCCATCATAGCAATAGCAATAAACTTATATACTGCCCCATAGTGCTTTGCAGCATCCCTGAGTGGTTTACAAATGTCAGTATATTGCTCCCAACAATCTGGTTCCTCATTTTACTGACCTCGGAAAAATGGAAGGCTGAGTCATCCTTGAGCTCCAATCAAACTCCAGGCTGTGGGCAGAGTTTGCCTGCAATACAGCATTCTAACCACTGCACCACCAGGACTCCTATCATTTCTCACCTTGATTTAAATAAATTCATCGGACATTATACTCATATACTTACTAATGCAGGTGGAAAAAAAGTCCTTCCACAAATCCGACATGGTAATAATTCTTCAGACTGTTGTGCATTTTTATAATCTGAAAAAGAAAGATACACACAATTGTTGGGGCAATAGGAATCCTCTTTAACATTTCTTAGCCAACAACAATATGTTGGTCTACTTAAAATGGACTGATATTGAACCTAACCTAAACTATAATTATAATTGTGGACTTGTAGATTTAATTCAGAAAATGCTCTTTAAAGATGGAAATATTCTGCATTTCTCATTTGGAAGCATAACATTTTTTTCCAAGCTTTGTCTACAGTACTGATAAATTTATAGTCCTTGGAAAGATTCCCTGATAGATCAATAATAAAAAAAATTAGACCAATGTATAAATAATTTGAAAGACTTGGATAGTGAAATCAAGGAATTCAAAAATACAGGAATCTGGAAAGACACACTTTTTATTGTTTTGTATTCTGCATACAATATTTCCCATTAAACATTAAAAAAACAATACCATGCATTTTCTTTTTCAAAAAAGTTAGTGCTTATTTAATTTAGGATAAAGTAAATAATACTCCACATATTTTTTTTTATTTGAAAGAAAACATAGTACAGCATTCAGAATGTTTTGATCATTTTAAAGAAACTGGGCAAGAAAATGAATTATTCTGGAAGCACAAAGGACTGAAGTCGTTTTTGGTCATACTGCAAACAGATATAATAAATGAATTAGTATTTATGTATTATATAACAGACTAAACAAAGGATGAGAAAGTAACTCATGTTATTCTCCATTCACATATAATTTTTGGATTCTATATTGGGATTATCTGGAAAATCCATAAAAAGAAAATAGAAAAGAAAAACCATAATTTCCTAGCAATATGTTAATATCAATATCCAAACTTTCCTGAGGGAGATTTAAAATGTTTCATTATCAAATGTAATTTTTCTATTAAGCTTATTTGACTAGAAAACAAAGCTTCACAGGCAACATAAAGAAGCTGTGAGTCACAGCTGATTTCCAGAGGAATTTCAGTGCCATTATTTCCCCAAAAAGAATGTGGAACTGGGCAGATACTACTCAGTTCTGCCCAGGTCTACTACATTCCTAAAGAAAATAATTATTTAATAAAGAACTCATACAGTTATTGCTCATATTCAGGGGATTTTGAGTAAATGCTTTTTATCTTAAGATTTTCAAAATAATGTTAAGAAAATAACTGTTTATAAACTTATATTTTACAATTTATGCAAATAAAAATCACTATTGTTTTAAGAAACTAATTGCTTCTAATGATTTTCAACCAACCTAGGGGTATCTATTATGTTCTTTTGGCATAATGGTAACAGATAGTACTACATAATATTCATGTGATTAAACAACTATAATACTGTATTTGCTTTCAACAATCTTATCTCTGAACTACTACTACTCTTGGTATATTTCAACTGACTTCAGTTTTATTTTCCAAAAGCAAATAATCTATTAGGAAGCTAAATATTTCCTTAGTTTTTCAATAATGTAATACAAAGAATGAAATCATGAATGGTTTTATATGCACAATCTTTCTATGTAGAGTGATCTATGTGCATAAATATAAAAGAATTACATTACATGCATGTAACCACACATATTTTTCAAATGCCATTAGAAATGAAGGTGGAACATTTGGGATGTTAGATTTTCAGCCATAAGATTTCTGCATGTACATATAGAAAAGGAAGCAGGCAACTGTTTTTATTCATAATTCATAACATGTTTTCCAGCACTCTGAAGTAGGCCAGTGCATGGCAGAAATAATAGGAGTTACCTTCTGGGACCGCATGATTCTTGGCTTACAAGATCTAAGAATATCCTCCTTCACTGCCCCCCCCCCAAAAAAAAATGGAAGCAGGAAAAAGAATACTCAACATATTTTTAAAGAATTGTTGATAATGTTGTAAATGAACCTCAAATTAGAATAAATATCCTTAAATTAGAACAAATTTAAACTTTTTAATGGGGCAACTAACTGTTATTACAATAGTCGGTTTTATGAGTTGAACTGGAATTTGAGGGAGCACACTAAAAAGCTACTAATCTAAATATATTTTCCAAAGAAAATAAAGCAGTAATTCAGTTAGAAATCAATTAGACACAATAAACACCTGACTGACAGGGAAAATGGTGTCCGGTAGGCAAGTAAATCCTGTCCCTCCCCCTCTTTCTCAAAGGCATTCATCCATGTGTATCTCTATATGTACATTCTCTATGTACATTCTCTATGTGAGCTCAGCCATAAACATTTTGACACAAAGAATGCTGATTCAGAAAAGGAGAGGCACTTGAAAAACTAACAGCTCAACAAATTTCAAGGACTCTTTGTTTAACTCAAGTAACTTTATCTATTCACCACATTACCTCACCACCCTAAACTTAGAAATACACATATTGCCATAACCCAAACTGTTTGCTATACTGATTAAGGGCATAGCTAAATGTATCCTGTCCAGTCATGTCCAACTCTAGGGCACGTTGCTCATCTCCGTTTCTTGGCCGAGGGAGCCAGTGTTGTCTGGAGACATTTTCTATGGTTATGTGGCCAACATGGCTTATAGGCCAAAGACACACAAAATGCTGTTACTTTCCCAGCGAAGTGGTACCTATTAATCTACTTGCATTTGCCTACTTTGAACTGCTAGGTGGGCAGGTGCTGGGGCATGAATGAGAGTTCACCCTGTTGAGTGGTGCTCAAGCCTCGAACATGGGCTGTAAACTTTCCAGCTGCCAAACTCAGTGTCCTTAACCATTGAGCCATCACTCCCCCGTGATTAAATGTATACAATATTATATAATTGGCATGAATCTGTAAAGAGGGACTGTAATATCTCTTCTCTTTTACTTCTAGTAGCACTTCAGTGAAGGTATGCTGGTCTCTGGTTTAAATGATTTCTAAAATTTTCTTACAGCTTTCACTTTTCAAACATCCTGCTGATCACATAATTATCTAATAAAGGCTTCTATTTCTTCAACTATACCAGACCAATGGCATAATTGATAACTTCTTGCATACTTGGATAAACACTCCAATTTCAGGATGTTGTAAAACTTTAAAGTTAAATGAGGAAATATAACTTCAAATTTGAATCAAGCCATCCTGATCAAGAAGTCATACTGGACTTTTAAGAAATATAAGGCAGGCAATCATAGGTACCATAAAGTAATAAATTAAGTCTTACAAGACTTTGCATATGAATACCAAAATGTCTTACAATTTTGGAAACCTTGCATAAGGTCTCATTTAATTCCCTCAATGTAGTCATCATGCAAACATATACAATGATATCAGCAGGCAAGAAAACATTAGTGGCCATCAGTATATGGAAAAGTGATATGAATCCAGAGCCATACTTTATTTGATAGCACACATTCAATACTGGAAGTTTGCCTACTTAATACAACTGAACATTTCATAATGAAAGGAATCCAGCATTATAAGAGTTATAGTCTGTGTAACAGTCTGCCTTTTCCTTCCCTTCTACCCCCATTATCTTTGTGTGAAGATTGGGACCCTCCTTGAGTAGATCTGAAAGGTATCTTGATGGTGTAGACATCAACTCCTTCTGTTCCACCATGAAAACTCTAACATCCCATTGGACTCCATGTATTATTATTTATAGCAGGGATGTACAATACATAGCCAACTGTGTGATGGAAAGCAGGCGTAGTTCTTCAGTTATCCCATTTACAGCTCCTACAGTCTACTCAGGAAAAATGAACTTGAATATTTTATTAATGGCATTAATGGGAAAAATGAGTGTCTTTAGTACTTACAACACGTCTTAAAAATCCTGGACTTTCCAAGCTAGGTTGATTTATTTCCTTATTTTTTTAGCTGCCTATCTTACCATAAAGTAACTCTGGGTGGCTTACAATAATAAAAATATACTGTATCTATATTAAAATTAAAACAAATAATTGAAATGGGTTTCAAACATAAATGCAGTTTTGAGACATAGCATTGTGGATAAGTTCTGGTGGAGTCAGAATGGATTGGTGTCATCATCCTCATCCTTCTTGATCTCTCACCTATTTTCAATATCTTTTCTTCCAGATTAGGTTTGGAGGATAAACATTTGGAGGATAAAATATTGTGATTCTAAAGGGCAGGTCCTAGTTGGTGCTGGTACAGTGGGTTCCTCAAGATTTTACACTTTTTTTTGTTCCTGTTTAACATCTACATGAATCTGCTGTCAATATGGGGCTTAGTACCATCAGTATGCTGATGATATTCAGCTACTGTATATATCTCTACTGCAGGATGACCAAGAAGCTATCAAATTATTTTTCTAGTGTTTGGAAACTGTGGAGGTCTGATAGGATTAGAACGGGTTTCATACTAGCCTTGGCAGGATTTAATGACTGTGGGTTTGGGAACCTCCAGATTTTGGGAACTTCCATCTTTAGTATGGGATGAAATAGTAACTCAGTTTGTAAGTGCACAATTTGGGGGGTCTTTTTAGATTCTTGGCTCCTGCTCAAAGAGCAGATAATGGCTGTAGCCAGAAAGCATTTGCAGAATGTACACCAACTGCATCCATTCCTGGATTGTGTAGAGCAGGGGTCCCCAACCGCCGGTCCGCGGAACAAGCCTTACCGGGCCGCTGGTTGCTGGGCGCCGCCATCTTTTTTTGGTAAAAAAGCGCTTCTGGTGAGCTTTTCCGGGTAGAAAGCTCACCGGAAGCGCTGTTTCGTCATAAAAAGATGGCGGCGCCCAGTTGACGCCGGTACCGGGCCGCAGCGCCCAGCTGATGCCGGAACCGGGCCGCGGCGTCGAAAAGGTTGGGGATCCCTGGTGTAGAGAAAGGCAGAGTATTGTTGGAGGAGAACTGCAAGGGCTGCTAATGGATAAAAGGTCTGTAAAGGAAATGTAATCCTAGGAAAATAAGCATAAGAAAGAAGCTTTAAATAATCCTGCCTTGATTCTGATTGGTATAAGAGAAAACAGAGAAATTCTGGCAGAACACCCAATACATTACTGTAAAGTTCCAGTAATCTTTGCAGTGTCTGTTTTCCTGACCTGGTACATTTTGAAGGGTTGATATTGGTCCTGATATTCTGCCAGGCTCCTTTTATCTACTCTTATACTTCAGATTATTTTTTTTTTCCATTTGCTTACTACTCTCCTGAACCCGAGACTTCATTTACAGCATATTTTATCTATTACTTTTGTTTGTCATTATCTCTGCCTCCCTGTACAAACCAGGAAGGCCTTGCTCACAATCCTACCTTGGTTCAGTGGTGGGATTCAATTTTTTTTTACTACTGGTTCTGTGGGCATGGCTTGGTGGGCATGGCAGGGGAAGGATACTGTAAAACAGTCAGAGGTGGTATTTGCTGGTTCTCTGAACTACTCAAAATTTGTGCTACTGGTTCTCCAGAACTGGTCAGAACCTGCTGAATACCACCTCTGTCTTAGTTGTCCCTTACTTGGATTCCTAAGTATATACATGGGATTTTCCTTGAATACTATTTAGTAGATGTACAGTAACTAGTTCAGAACCATGTGACAACACTAATGTTTCAGCAGTTCTGACTTCTAGCAGACTTCTAAGTGTAATTCAAGGTACTGGTTACCACCTATACATTTCTTCATAGCACAGGGACATGTTATTTGTGGGTCTATTTTGAATCTGACAGGGTAGGCATGTTCCAGGTTCCTTCAATGAAAGTTTTTTTGCTGCAGCCTTTGTCCTACCCATGTTCAGATTGTCTTGACCCTGTTGGTCTTTTATGAGACTATAAAATCCTGGCTGTCCTACCAGGCATTGGACCAACGTACAGTATTAGATGAGCCCATATTATAATGGTTTAGGGAAATTATAGTGATTTTCCTTGCATTTATTTTCATTAGTTTTGCTGGCTTTTAACTCAGTAATATGTAAAGCACAATTTTTTATTGTACTACAATTTTGGTTCAGTAAATGAGTGGTTTTAAAATAACATGGAAGTATCTCCATATGTTTGTTGAGTTTCTCTCTGGCTAAATGATACTTGATCTACTAGAGCAGGGGTGTCAAACTCACGTCATCACGGTGGCGTCACATGACGTATCAGGACTTTTGCCCCTTCGCTAAACTGGGCCAGCACATAAGGCATTTGGTTGGGAATTTGACAGCCTTGTACTACAGTTTCTGTCAGCAGAATAGGAAAATCCTCTAGAGAAAATTGAGGAGCAGAGAAGCCGCCAAAAAAAAAAAAAAAAAAGATTCGTGTGAAAATTGTTTCCTTTTACTAATCAAAACCTTTATTAGATGTAATATCATTTTTCTGGTAAATAATTGGAGGTCATTCACAGAAATGTCAGTGCAGGATATTATTGCTTATTCCATACAGACTATATCTAATTCTAAAACTGAAATAAAAGCTATAATGAACCATCAAATTGGAATGGGCCATTTAGGCTACTTAGCCCAAGATGTGCCTAAAGCAGCAATCCAAATGAAAAACTTTTTCACACATGGTTTTCTGTCTTCTGTTTGAACACATCCAGCAGAGATCCATCATGCTCTATAGCAGGCTCTGTGTTTAAAAAAATATTCTAATATTTTAATAAATATTTAAAAATACAATCAGTAAGAAACATGAAAAGGAAAATAATAAGTTAAAAAGATGGTTTAAATTTGGTTTCTTTTCATAGTTTTGTCTAATAGCTAAGCATTATCTACTTTTCTGTTGTATAAGACCATCATTCTTATGAGTCTATTTGAGTTGAGTGTTTGTTTTCTAATTTCTCCTTCAAAATCTGAATTTTTAGTTCACTGATCTTCTCTGAGTTAATTCCAATCTGTTTAAATCCTTTCTAAAATGTAGCCCAGATCTGGACATAACATTTAAAGGGTGATTTGACTCAAGCCAATAGGATGGCATTATTACTAGAATTTAGAAATGTTATTTTATTGACAGTAAAAAGAACTGTATTTGCTTTTTTTAAGCTATTGTGTTACAATGGTTATACATATTCAAGTTACTGCCAAGCTAGGTTTCCCTATTTTTATACCTGTGCATTTGATTAATATTCCTAAGTGAATCAGCACCCTTTTAAATAAATATAAATGATTTGCTTTAGAACTTACTAACCTGTATGAACATCTTTGAGCATTATTTCAAACCAGTGACTTTGGGCAGTGAACACTTTCTTCTGTTTCTGTATAAATATTTGTATAATCCACAGGATAAAATTTGACATAGAAGTCTGGAGTTAGACCAAAACTATGTGGGTAGCCATAAAGAAATAAACAATATAGGTATTGTTTGACTGAAACATTCATTGACTGAATTTTTAAAAAAGTTTTTCAAATGGGGAGCTTTGTGCATTGAGTACTACTGTATACAAAAACAGTTAGGTTCAAGTATGGTATCCTGAGGTTTGTTTCCAGCTTGCTTGGCTCCATACTTTTTGTAGACAGGTTTTTCTGAAAACATCGCACTAGAATCTTTTCTTGTGCAGTAAAACAATTGTAAAACCAAAAATACCTAACATTCATCCTAAGTTCTTGACGTAGGTTTATTTTAATAGTACTTATGATAGTTTGGTGGATCTTCAACTGTTCTAATATGTTCAAATTTTTCCATTTTTAAATATTAGAAATCTAAAATTTCATTAATACTGACTAAAGACACCAAAGGTTAAGTTATGATAGATGCCACAATGGAAGGAAGCAGGAAACCATCCTCCTCCTAATGCTGGGATTCATGCATGGCTTCAACAGTTGGCAAACTCATGATTTTAACAATTTTCCAAACAAAATAGGAGAAAGTACACTCAAAGGCGACACATATTTTGAGTATACAAGACATCAGGCCTGCATATAGAAAGCTGTGTCCTGTTAGACCATGCCATAGCCTTCCTAGCCAAGCTTAGAATACAATAGACAAACTATTCTATTCTCTGGCCAGTTGTTTTGGCTATCACAAAGTAGCTATTCTTTTGGACAGGCTTCCCTGATCTCTTAGGTTTGCTTCTGCCACTCTTTTTATCCATCCTGTTTGATGCTATCTTCTTTTCTTCCTCACCTGTCTTCTTATTCTCTCCTTTGCCACAGCGGCAGATAAAGTCCCTAGACTACAATGTTCCATGATACCCATGGTTTTGTGGGCACCAAAACTGAACATTATACAAAACCCAAGCTCAGCTTTCTGGTTCTTCTGCTGCAATCACTATTATATATATTCTCCACAACAATAATTTCAACAAGGAAAGTAAACATATTACAAAAACTGTTTTGTAACACAATTCATACACAATTCCTTGCTGGGCAGTTGAAGCACAGCACAAAACATCTGGATGGCATCATAAGATGAAATAGAGGTGCACTGCTAATCAACTAAATTGGCATATAGTTAATATCAACAGTTCTGAAGAAAACTGAACAGCAGGATATTAAAAATGAAAAATTTGATTTAAATGGGATTTAATTCCAAATCAAATTCATAGATTTACAGCATTATACCTGGTATGACGCTATAGTGAGATCAATTTAACATTCCTTTTTCTTGTCAAACTCATTACTTTAAAAAACAGTTGAAAGCCCAGAAATACTGTAATTAGACCTGACTCTGATATTGAATCAATGTAAAATATAAGTCAGATTAATAAAACATGGATTTTAGTACAAATATTTTAACATTCATGCACACTTAGATTGAAGATACACATTTGGGATTCATTTTATCGTTCAAAGAACTAGATATGTGCATAAATCTCCACATAGTTTAAGCACAAATTTACCTAAGGTAATTCTGTGTACAGCTACTTTTGCAGTTTGTATTCAATGTATCAATTTAAAATAAATGTGTACAGACTGCTTTTTCTTAATAAAAACACTTTTTTCTGCATTACATATAAAATAAAAGATGTAACAAAGAAAAAAAGCATTCCTGATTTTGATTTATGAAATAAAAAAGGCCGAAAATCAATTCAAGCAAATCCACACAAAGAACAAGAGAGATGCCAACACACTTTAAATAGTGCTGTCATCATCCTCAGCAAGATTAAATGAGGATTCTGTTGGCTAAATGTGGCAAGAAAGCTTTGCCAAACCCAATTCCACTACAGGGTAGGTTTTCAAAACCAACAAAGGGCTGTTTCCAAGAGTAAACGGTTTAGTAGGCCTTTTCCACAAATGACAATAAAATCCCACTCCTCCCCTTTTTTACTCTTTGCATCCCTAATTGAATATACAACCTCAAGTGGCTCAAATATGTATTTACATTAAAAACAGTTCTCTCAGGATTTCCATGCTAATATTCATCATATGATGCATGCTAGCCCCAACTTTCCCTAGCATCACTTCTGAAAATACATTATAAAAAGGCAGGAAAAGAGAAAAAGCGAATTCACAGGCATCCGCTCACCTTTTTCACTCCCCCCTCCCACCCGACTGTGCCCCAAGTGCAGTGGCTAACAAACTGCGTTAATCATGTAATTAGCACACCCGGAGTTCAAAGCCCGACCTCGGGCTTCAGCCTGACCGACTTGCACGGTTCAGAAAAAGATGCGGACTGAACGGCACTGACTGACTGGCAAAAAGGCCCGTTTTGGAACTCACCAGCCATCCCTCCTCCAACCCGTCTTCCAAAATGACCGCAGGGGTCCCAAAAGCCCCGGCATTAACTCAGCCGCCGCAGGAGGGACAGAGCAACGGCTGGAATAGACAGTCAGCCCCGACACGCCCAGTAACAAACGGGAGGGAGACGCGCCTTGGCTGGGTGGGGTGGGGATGCAAACCCTTCGGGAGACCCCAGTCCTTCCTCCTCGGCCCCTTCCCGGGAGAAGAGAGCCTCCTCCCGCCTTCCGTGGGGGTGGGGGGAAACGACTTCGGGCATCAGAAGAGTCCTCCCGCCTTCTACCGTTTCCTCCCTCCTTCCCGGAGCCTCGCGTCTCCTTCTCTTCCCGCCAGCCTGGAGGAACGAAGGGTCCCCGGCTCTTTTCGCAGTCCCCGCCCTTACCCTCCAGCTCTTCCATGGCGCTCCCTGCCTGTCTCAGGCTCCCAGCCGCTGCTGTAGCAACACGGCCACCTCCCAGCCGCTAACATCCCCGGCGTCTATTGGTTTCCCAGCACAAGGAGGGGGTAAAGGGCGGTGCGGCGCGGCACGCAGTGCGGATGGGCAGGCCTAGGCTGCGGCTCTGGCTTCTTTCTTCTTCGCGGTCGCCGCCCTGGCGTGGAAAAGGGCGGGCTTTTTGGTGTCTCATTTCTTTGCCTGGGCATTTTTCTGCTCCTAATACCTTTCAATGGTCCTACCTCCCAAGGAACTTTTTTTCCCCCCTGCCCTTCTGGCAGAATATTTTTTTTGGACCGCGCTCAGCAGAAATACAAGGCGTTTTATTTTATTTTATTGCTTTTCTGCTGGGTGGGGAGCATTCACACAGTAGTTAGGCGTGGTTGGAGTCCTGGTGACCCCAGGAGTGCCTTTTGGATCGCCTAATAATGTATGGGACGTGAATGATCAGATGAAGTTAAAGCTGGTCACATTACAACACATTAGATCAAGGTTCTCCAACTATGGCATCTTACGGACTTCAACTCCCAGAATTCCCCAGGCAACATGGCTGGCTGGAAAAGTCTGGAAATTGAAGTCCACAAGACTTCAAAGTTGGGCACTCCTGTATTAGAGGCTCAGTAAAAACAACCAAGATGCAAAAAGTCAGACATTTTCCCTGAAGGGAAGTACAGTACCAAAATACATAGTTTACACTATCCCTCATCATTCAGCGGTGGTCATAGAATCACTTGGGTCTATGGCCTGCTTTGAAAAGGCACGTTTTCATTGCCTTTCTAAAGCAGAGGAGGGCTGGGGCTGAATGGGCCTGGGGGAATGCTATTTTGGAGGGCAGGAGTAGTAATAGGCACATTTCTGCAGTCCCACAAGTTGTCAGTTTAACTGAGGGGAACCAGTGTGTGTCAAGATGATGGGATAGGCAGAGACAATTGGACACAGGCAACTTCGTAGCAATTTATAGATTCAGTGAAGCATATTTTCTTTCATAAAGGGAAATTTCTTTAAATTTGATTCTTGATCCAAATTAAAGCTGAAATAAATGTAGAGAGGTCTTGCAGGCAGCGTAAAATGGGTATGCCTCATTTCTTCCCTGATTGTCTGCATGGCTTACCCACTGACCTGGTTACCAGTCTTCAAAAATAATTCCTTCTCTATTCCTTGTTTATCTTTTATTGTTCTCTGTCAATAAATAGCATTTTAATGATTGTATATGTTCTCTTCAACTACCAACATTTTTAAATAAAAAAATGAGCTTTAAGACCACATCCAAGTATGTTGACAGTCGAAAGATATAGCAGAATGATGTGGATGAATAGATACTGTTATTTGAAGTTGAATTTCTTCATAATTCATTACATCAGTAATACAGATATTTGTTATTTCTAAGATTAGCAAAAATACAGTGCTGTAGTTAAATGGCAGCATTGTCATTTTTGACATTAAAGGGTTACCAGTTGATAGTTGATATTAAAAAAAAAACATTGGAAACTTACTTGGCAGCATCTGAAATGGACACTGAAAACAGTAACATGCCTGCTAATTCTGCATCAGCATTGTGTTGCATTCTTTTTACTGTTCTTTGGTAGAATATGTTTTTGTTTTTCCCCTCTTCACTTTAAGAGTATCAGAACTGATGAGTTTTTCCCAAGGGGGAAGATTCAATTCTTGTACTTATTCTTAAAACTGGTAGTGAGGGGGTCATATTTGTGAGAGTTTCGTCTGCTATTACAGTCTGTTTATTACAGTAATCTTTGGCCTGTCTTTTGCCATTTTTTGGTTTAATCCCAGGAAATACATAATGAAAAAAAATCTGCTTTGGGATTTTCTTTCAAGGGAAGCATTCTCTGTCACTTTGCCTGGTATAGTAATCTTGTAAATATCACTAAAAAACATTTGCAAGAAATTTTAATGCACTGTATATAAAAGAGGTTCAAAAACAGGATTATCTTTTGCAGGAAAAAGAAACATTTTGAAAATTAGAAAAAATACACAATGCAAATATCATTTTAATTATGGAATTCCAATACAGTAAATGTGAAATAAAATAAAGTGAATATGTACATATGAAAGTATATTTAAGTAAACTATTAATCATGAACAAATAGGTGCTGTGAACATAGCCATAATGACATAGGTTCAGTGCTTCATCAGTTATGCAAGATTATGAACAAATAAGCTAATTCTAATTAAATCACAAAAACATTTGTCAATGTTTTTCTAGAATCATTTGTTTTTTAAAATAAGTTATAATGGTGAAAACATAGTGTTAGAACTCCCCCTGCTGGCTCTGAAAAATAATTTTGCAAAATTTTGCAATAGGTAGATTGTCCTTTGGAAATTATGATATTGCTGAACTAGGGGACTTCTGGTTGTTGTGGCTGTTGTAGCATCCCTGTGGTCATGTGGTCACAATCTGGTTGCTTGCCAGCCAGCTAGCTTGCAGTTATGAGTATCCCCCAGTCCAGGGGTGGGATTCTACTACTAGTTCTGTCCACCTCTGTAGAACCGGTAGTTCTGAAGAGCAGCAGACAGAGTTCTATGTCTGCTGCTGTTCTATGTCTGCTGCAAACTGGTTCTACGTCTGCTGCTGTTTTGGCCCACCCGCCCAGACTCTTACCTGACCTTTATTTCCTGCTTTTTCAACCGCAGCTGCTTTGCGCAACACAACTGCAGTTGAAAAAGCAGGAAATAAGGGCTTTTCCAACCACTGCGCACTTGCACCCCACGCTGCTCAGCTGTCTGGGCAGCTCAGCAGGTTGTAAATTGCAGTTGCGCGACTCGCGCACGCAATGCAGAGAGACAGAACCAGTAGTTATACCGGTCGGATCCCATCCCTGCCCCAGTCATACAATTGCCATTTGCTACCTTTACTGCTAGCTTCCAAGAAGCAAAGTCACAGGCTGCAGGCAGAGGGTGCAAATGGTAATCACATGAAGTGGTGCCTAATGACTGCACTTAACAGCAACTGGAACTGCCACAACTGTCTGTACATTGGTGTTATGTAACATTGCACTTTATGGCTATGCTAATTAAAGGGGATAGTTCCACATGAGCAGTAGGAGAGTGTATGCACATGCAGCTCCATTTGTGCAAGTGGCAAGCATGCCTGCCCACTGCTTGCACTAATGGAGCTGCACATGCACGCTCACCTGTCCACTGTGCGTGCAAGTGCAGCTGCTTCCACGGCCATTAGGGGTTGAGGACCCCTGATCTATTGTGCAGCCCAGTCACATCTCTCACTGTCATCAGTTTCTCCTTTATGTATTTTCTTTATATGATCTGGAACCTGAATAAGAGGGCAGAGAGAAATAATTTTGTTTTAAAATTGAAGAAGACAATTGAAATATTTTTCTTTCCTTCCAAAATGCTGAAAGCAGAAACCAGATTGAGAAAGGGAATGTTATTATTTAAGACAACTTGAAATGTGATGTTTTTACACGTTTGTCCAAGACTCCCATCCTGTTGTGATGTCAATGATGTCCTTTGGTAGTAAAGGAAATATTGCTAGAAACTTACATGTTGCAGATTTGGAATCTGCAAACTATCTGTAATTGGATTTCTGTACATTACTTGTAGCTTTGCTAACAAAGTCCTAAGATCATGTCCAAAACTGGTATGACTGACTAGCATTTCTGCTCAACACATTTTTGGCAGTGTGGGTATTCCAACAAGGACAGCATCACAGAACTTCATATTTTTTCTTACAATTGCAAATTCATTCACTATAACCTCTCTGTGGATGGTATTTCTATAGCACACTTAACACAACATTGGCAAACCTTGTAATTTCATGACCCTCTAAAATGGTAAATACATTTATGAACCCCTTCCCTCCATGAATAAATCTAATAAGTTCTACCTTGGTAGCAGTGAATGTGTCGTATGTTTAACATTAAATGGGTTCTTCATTATTTATTATTATCCTATTTATCTATGCAGAGTTGGAATTCTTTCAGGACTTGTAATGTTGCCTTCTGAGAACACAGTAAAATTTTTGTATGTATAAAATAAGAATTTTTACAGGGCCTTTTGACTTTGCAAGTTGAGCCAATCGAGGAGATACTTTCTGCTCTGGACAGCAAAACAACCGTTTCCATTCTCTATTGATTTGATGTGTTTGCTGTCGAGTAGTTGATGGCTGCCACATAAGAGAGGTCCATCCTTGCAACTCCTATATGCCAAACAAGTGGGGCAATGTGAGTGCCAGTGTCTTCTGGATTTCAGCTTTATGCATGCAAAGACTAGTCTTACCAGAACTTGGTTCTGTTCTTGCTAGACAGCTTGTTTAAGCAAAGCAGATCTGAGTTCTCACAGAATTCTGCTTTGCCTACATGACACCCCCAATTACAACCATCCTCAGATTTGGACTTATAACACACTTAAGAAATTTTGTCTCAATGCATGGGGATTTAAATCCCTCAAGACCATCTGCCTGGAAACCTCAACACTAGTTCTGAGATAAAATCAAGAGGAGAAATATGCTATCAGGTAGCAGAATGAGAAGCACTTGTCTTCAAAATAGTCAGCTTTAAAGGACCTACATCTAATTGTATGCACAGCAGGATATCTGATAGCAATAGCAATTAAACTTATATGTTTCATAGTGCTTTAC